TTGCATTTGAAAAATTTCACTAGAATGCACTATCTGCATTATAAATCCACGACTACACGACTAACATGGAGTTCTTCCATCCATTTCATCTTTCAATCAGTCTTTGAAGATATTTTTAAAAGTTTTTGCCTACACAAATGAAGATGTGAAATTACTTGCAATAAGCTTACCAAGAGCATCAATCCCGATCAAAGAAAGAAGCCTACGATCGATTCCCCACTTACTGAAATAGTAGTTTTTTCACGTTTACTTAAATTCTATAGAACGTACGTTCGATTTCCACTTTTCTTTTGTATTAAGCATTAATTTTTATTCAGTTAGAAAAATCACAAAATTAGACATCTATTATCTATTATGATAAGTTATTTCTCATGATTACTAGCAGAATTAAATATGAAAAGTATATTGGATAATAGATTTTTGTTTTTCATCCGTTAAAAAAAAAAAAAAAAAAAAAAAAAAAAAAAAAAAAAAAAAAAAAAAAAAAAAAAAAAAGCCCTACTTGGTCAAAAGAGTGCTTTTTCATTTACGAGAAATCTGCTTTTGGAGCACGTAACGCAATAGCTAAATAAAAATGTACAACGTGCGCAAATCGTAAATATCAATGTAACAACACTCTTATTCTGAAAGTGCAGATGTATAAAGTTTGAACGCGTCAATTTCATATCAGCAAGGACAAATTTAGCAATGCGGAATGATCTCATTAGATTTAGATTAATAGTTTGCAATCATTATTATTATTATTATAATACGAAATACATATGAAATATGCATATTTTCTCAATCTTTTTTCTTAAAATGAAGCCAACTGGTATGTATATCGCTTAAAGCCGGACCTCGTATGATTTTATTATATGCAGGATAAATGTAGTAAAGCAGTGTATGTAAGTGTTTTTACTTGTGCTCCGTTATACGCTGCATAATCGAAATACTTTTCCTCTTACGCGACAGGACCACTGAAAAAAAATTATTTTAACTCTTATACCGTTTCAATGCCACATTCAAATCCTTTCTCGCCCAGATGTTCATTCTATCAGTCACCATTCATTATCAATCTTCAACGAGAGTTGAGCCGTTACTCGTCATACGCATTAAATAACGATAAAATGCTAATTATGATCCAATAAGACATGCATTATTAATATCTGATTTTGTGAGCACATATAATCCATAAGCACCGGCACACATCCGCACCTACTCAATCGCAAGATATGCATAACCGTCCCGTACTTGCAAGATTAAATCGTTAAGAGCCGATAAATGGCGCAGCCCTATTTTCAATACGCGGCCAATCGACAACGCGACTAGGCATCATAACGTACCTGCATCCCCCCCCCCCACCT